AAGGCAGAAGCCTGCRCAAGAGCAGTTGTATTCCAGGTTTATCCCAGGCGGAAGAGAAATCTGAACTTTTCYAGCAGGTCCTGCAAACAGATGAGAAATAAGAAAAGAGCTCAAGATAACTGGCCTGACTCACAAGCCCACAAGACACGGTTTGAAAGATTTGTGGAGCCAAATTCACACGCTAAATTTACTGAAGCCTAAACAATTTACTTATACAGACTGGGGTGAGTTGTGGGCTCCTCAGAAGAAGGACAGTGAGTGGCTGTATTCCATCCAGGAYAGGGAGCTGAGCTGGGGAAGGGGCTGGAGCCCCAGGAGCAGCTGAGGGAGCTGGGAAAGGGGCTCAGCCTGGAGCAAAGGAGGCTCCAGGGGGACCTTGTGGCTCCGCACAACTCCCTGACCTTGTGGCTCTGCACAGCTCTCAGGAGGAGAGGGAACAGCCTCAGGCTGGGCCAGGTTGGACATCAGGAGGAATTTCCTCATGGAAAGGGTTGTTAAACATTGGCAGGGTGTTGGAGTCCTCAGCCCTGGAGGTGTCCAAGGAACTCCTGGACGTGGCACTGAGTGCTCTGTGCTGGTGCTCTGGGCATCGGGCACAGCTTGGATTTGACAATCTCAAGGGTCTTTTCCAACATTAGGAATTCTGTGAGCTGCATTTGCATTGCTTTTTTCCAATTGCATTTGCGGATTGGAAGAAAATACTGCAGTGGTAAAATCCATGGACAAGAACRAGAAATGCAGATGCTCAGCGAGAAAGAGTGAAATGCCCCGGCTCCAGCCAGGACAGGGTTAAAGTGGCAGCAGCAGGAGGGGCAGGGCCAGGATCCGGATGTTCCTCTATCCCATCTCTCCGTGCGCCGGCGGGAAAAAGTCTCTTTTTGATGGCTTTTCCTTGTTTTCGGGAGGGTCCCCTGYGTCGCTCCTTGTCCCGGTGCCGGTCCCAGTGAGTTGTCGCCTCTGCCTCCGGTGGTGCCGGGGTCTACCCGCGGCAACGCGAAATTCGGGAATCGGTGGACCCGAACCACCACGGCCCATCGTGCCACACCACGGATCGAGATAAGAACAGCTCTGCCCGCAGCGGCTTGGAAGCAGATYTTTGAGTGTTTGGTGTGCTAGGTGCAGTCACCGGTCACGATGTGGCTCAGTGAGCCCCTGGTGGAGTGGTACCTATGCAAGTTTGTAATTCCCTATGTGATCCTGGTAACGGAATTTCACCGTTTAGGGACGTGGGTCAGGACTATTATGTATGTGCATTATGCGGTATCAACTTGTGACATGATATACTACCTCCAGGAGACCACCAATAATCGTTCGCAGTCCATGGGGGGAACAAAGGACGATGATTTYCACGAGCCTTTCGCCCCCTTCTCCTCCTTCAAGGCTCTAATAGTAGGTTTTGAGAATTCTGGACTCCCTCTGAATGTTAAGGCAGGCATATTCTTCTTGTTCCTTCTCCTAAGTCTCCTCACATTGGTCTACATCATCTTCAGAGTTGTACAAGAGATTTTTAGGAGGGTATTTCGGAGATCGAATAATGATGAGTGGCATGGAAGGTGGGAGAAAATCGGCCAGCTTTTGAAGGAGTATTCAGCTCCAGTGGTTTGGAAATTCACCCCTGAGCAAATACGGGACCCTGTTAAAGTGGCAGAACATCTGAAAGAGAAACGCTGTGGTGGTTCCAGGGAAGAGCAGCTTACTGCACTGTGCTGGGCCCTGGCTACTCTGTATCGGACACTGCTGGACARCAGCCAGTCCCCCACTCAAACTGCAGCTGCACCACAGGAACAACCCGTGCCAAGAGCAGTCGCTCCTGAACAGAARACATCCCAGACACAAACAGTTTGCTCAGTGAGGGATGAAGAGGAAACAGAGTCCTCAGAAGAGGAGGAAGAGGCAGAGCCAGAGACAACCAGCAGATGCCAGCGGGAGCTGCAAGAAATCCAGCAACGTTTCCTGCGGCTTCAGGAGGCAGAGCCGATCAGAGAATCCGAACGTGAGCTGCGAGGAATCCAAGGCCGTTTCAGCCGCCTTCCGGATCAGTCCATACTGTCGTGGCTGTACGAGTGCTGGCTTTCTAGGGCCAATGAGTATTTCCTGAACAGTAATGAAGCCAGGCAGCTGGCACCCCTGTCCTGGGATGCAGTTATTGACTGGGGGCTTGGGAGAAGGAGAGGAACTCTCAGCCTCTGGAGGCGACTGGTGTCAAGCGTGATGACAGTGTACTCTGGGGATGAGCTGACCATGTACTGGGGCAGGTGGAAGGCCACGKTGGAAGGCATTTGGTATCTGAGAGAACTGACGATGAAGGACATACTGTATGGGAATACAGGGAACAGGCAGTACCTTGACAATCCAGATGGAGCCTACTGCACCTGGCACATGTGGCAGACGTTTAAAAAGAGYGCACCACCATGCTATGCCAAGGCACTGTCATTGGTCACGTGGCAYGAGCACCTAAAGGTGCTAACATTACAGGCCTATATCTGGGACTATACACGGAGACCCTTTYGCCTGGTACAGGACAACTTCTACAAGGTGGAAAGAGAGCCCAGGGAATCTGCAGCCTCCAGTGACGAYCCCTGCACAATCTGCCATGAAGAACTAATCAGAAACGTGTGTGAGCTGGATTGTGGGCATGAATTCCACAGAGATTGCATCAGGACGTGGCTCCAGGAGCATTCCAGCACGTGCCCCATCTGCCGTGTCTATGCTATCTTACCTCCACGTGCCTGAGCATCCTGCAGGGAACAACTCAAAATGTTACAAAGCCAAGCCTTGGAAATGATCAGCATATTAGAAGAGCTCCCAAAGAAAAGTGTCACAGAGACCGAGGTCTTAAAGTATGGACTGGATTGGTTCTGTAAGATCAGAAGTACAAGTGAAAAAATGGCAGCAGGAGAAAAAAAAATCAAAAGAATTTAGAAGTCAAAAAGAACACAGCTRAAAAGCCCCTGAATACCAATGAGAGAGATTGGAAGACCACTGATGACAAGGAAAAGCAGTATAATGGACATAAATATATCTCTTGAGACATTTATGAGGGACAGCTTTTGATTAAGGGAATGATTCCTGTGCTTTTATGTGTATAGATGTGGCTGGGAGGTGTGGGATCTGGGCATGAGTAGATGGGATAGAATAAGGGGTGGGRAATGGCCTGATTCTGGCCAGGACAGGGTTAATTTTTACAGGAGCAGGGAGGGGCATGGGATATTTGGGATATTCAGTGACATGGGTTCCAGATTCCTTGTGACGAGTAATCTGTTCCCTGTCCTGTACATTCTCTCAATTAATTTTTCTGTTACTGTTTCTTASTCCACTGCTGTTCTCAGTAAATTGTTCTTATCAAAACCCCTGATCTTTGTCTTTTGTGCCTTCAGTCTCCCTCCATCCCACTTCAGGGGGAGGGGGAAGGAGTGAGYGGCACATGTGTCTGGAAACACCATTCCTAAACCACAAGATCACAGCTCCATCTCCATCCCAACCCCTCACACACAAATCCACCACCCAGACCACCCCTCGCTACGAGGACAGCACAGACAGAGATGTGTTGGGAGAGTTCCCAGTCACACCCACGGATTCCACCTCACAAAGCTACTCACACTTTTCTGATGAATCCTACAGAAACTTGTGTATGGAGCCAGGAACTTTGTGGACACGTTTTCATGAAGACAAGAAATGAGGATGCTTTTCTAGGGGAGGAAAGAGGAAAAAAGGAATTAGAAGTGTTGTTAAGTCCGACTGAAACAAAGGCTGCTGAGGTAGAGCTGTGACCTGGACCCAGCTGTGGTATCCCAGAGTCTGAAAATTGATGGAAGGGTCAGAGTGGGGCTCATCTCCCCACGACGCATGTGGGAAGGGATGGCTGCTCCAGCCTGGCCAGTCATGGCCTTGGGGGATGTTATGGACCAGCTCCAGGGCTCTGCACAGCAGGARGCTTGGCATAGCTACACAGGACCAGGCAGGGACTGGGGGACAGCTTTAGCGTTCTGTTAGGGACTGTCACAGCGTTCCCTCTTTGTGCACAGGGGGTGGCCACCGACCCCATTCCCCCCAGCCCTGGCACCTTGGTGACTTCTCCGACCACGAATCCCTCGGAGGCTACGATGTCTGGGACGCCATCGGAGCTSAGCCCGCGCCGGGTGACGCTGCCGTACAGGGTGGGCTTCCCTGGGGGACAGGAGCCATCAGATCCAGCACCATCACAGCCCACAGCCCCTCAGCCCACCTGCCCCAATCCCCAGAGGGATCCCAAATGCCCTCACCCCCCTCAACTCAGAGAAACCCAACCACTCTCTCCCCCTCCTTACCCACAGGGACCTCAAACACCCCCATCCCCTCCTAACCCACATGGCTCCCAAATGATCCCAAGCCCTTTGAAACCAAAGGGACCCCCAAACCACCCCAATCCCTTTTAAACCAATGGACCCCCACCCACTGCACCCTGTTTAAACAACAGGGCACCCCAGCAGCCCCACTCCCTGCTAACACACAGGTCACTCCCACCAGCCCCTATCCCACAGGCTCCCCCAACCACTCCCACCCGTTTCTGCATCACAGAACACCCTCCACCCCCAGGACCCTCTCGATCCTCCCCGACYCCCTCTCATCACCAGGGCTCCCCCCGAGGCCTCCTCAGGCCACTCACCGGGGCTGCGGCAGCTCAGCCAGGCCTCGCCCTCGTCCCTGCTGCAGAGAGAAGAAGCGGCCRTGAGCGGGGCAGGGATAAGGACAGGGACAGGAACAAAGAAAGGGACCGTTCCCACCTCAACGCCCGACTCCAGTCGCTCTGGATCCGCAGCGTCGCCGCCATCTYTACCGGGGTAATTGCATCCACTTCCGCCTCGCTACTTCCCGTCGTTCCCCGCGCGAGCGGAACGGGGAGGGGCCCGCCAATCAGCGAGCGCCGCCGCGGCCACGCCCCGCCCGGAGTGCCTTGCCGGATTCCCGCCTTAAAGGGGCTGCGCTGGCACGGGGTGAGGTCTATGGCGGGGCGGGGGTCGGGGAGGGTGCGGGGCATCTATGCCCACCATAGATGGGGACCCTTGGGAGGAYGAAGTGTCGGGGTTGAGGAGGCTGCTGGGCACCCATAGCTGGGGTAAGGTGCACGGAGAGGGTGCTGAGCTCCTCCCCGGCGTGCAGAGGGCTCAGTGTGCACCCAGGACACYTCCACCTCCCTTGTTCCCAGCTGTCCCATGGCGAAGGCCGGGCACGCCTGGAGCCGCGCGGCAAAGGAGCAGGAGGACGAGGAGGGCGAGGATCCCGTGGACGCCATGATCGCGCGGACCGGCTGCCTGGAGCAGCACCGGCAGCTTCAGGAGTGCATGGCCGAGCGGCAGGACTGGCGCCACTGCCAGGCAGAGGTCCGGGCCTTCGGGGCCTGCATGGCCCGGCGGCAGCAGCGGGAGCGCGGAGCGAGCCCGGCCCAGCCCACGGACTGACAGCGCCCGGGACTCCCGACAGCCCCCCAGGAATGGGGGGAGCTGTGCCCTTCGCCCCTTTCTTGATTTTTTTTTAATCAAACTGCTGGGAAACGCGGAATTAAATCTTGTGGCATTTGGCTTCCCTCGGCTGCATCTGTGCCAGTGGGATAAATGGAAATTAGGAGGAGGTGGCTGATTTGGAGCATACAGCGTCAAGCTGTGCCAGGGGAGGGTCTGGTTGGACATCAGGAGGAATTTCTTGATGGAAATGGTTGTTAAACATGAGCAGGGGTGGCCCAGGGAGGTGGTGGACTCCCCATCCCTGGAGATGTCTAACGAAAGAATGGGTACGGGACTTGTTGCTCTGGGTTGGGGACAAGGTGGGCRTCGGGCACAGGTTGGACTCGATTTTCCCAGAGGTCTTTTTTCCAACCCAAATGATTCTGTGGTTGTGGATTTCCAGCCCAAAATGTCCCAGTCCAGGAGCATTCACAGCAGCCAGGCTGCATCTGGGCTCCAGAACAACYCTGCTATGAATTTTTACTCCCATGTCCTTCTCTGTGCCATCCCAAGGCTTTTCTCAGCAGTGATAACCTCATGTCCCACAGGATGGATTSTTGGGAAGGGGATTTATCTCCTGGGACGCCACAGGAAAATTAGGAATGGGGGAAAAATGGATCATCATCTCACCACTTCTGGCAAATAAACCAAGAGAACARAAATAAATTTGTTTTTTKGGGGGCTGGAAAGGGAAGAGCACCYATGGCTTTTGCTAGAAGGGAATGTTCCAGGCTATTTCCCAGGGAGGTGGGTGCTGGAAATGCTGAGGGGCTGGGTTCCAGCACTGCTGGACAAAATGACAGCATGCATGGAAGAACAAGGAACACCTGGACMGCCCCAGGTTGGGGGAAAGTGTTAAAGAGTATTAAAGTGTTAAAATAATTTTCCCTCCTTTTCATGAGCTGATGCTTAGAAGCGGGGAGAAAAATCCTCCAAACAAACCAGTTTCTGGAACAGTTTCTCTTGGCATCCATCAGATTTGGTTACAACAATTCAATGGTTGTTGCAGAACAGCTTTATTCACTCGCAGAGATTTCTGCAGAAATTCCCACCTATCAAAAGTAAAATAGGCAGGAATTAAAAAAAAAAAAAGGAAAGCAAACCCACATTCCATTGTGGCAGTTTCACTCCCAGTACAAACAGATACATGATTTATTTTTATTGAGACAAGCTGATGGCCAACAGTGGAATTCCTTCAAATTCACTGAGTTACCAGTACAATGCTCATGGAATCACCCTCTGGAGGCTGAACAGCCATGGATGTAGCACTCCTCACCTCAGGACATCTGTGCCAGCAGCTCTTCCAGCTCTGGTCGAGACTTCAATCGGCTCTTGAAATCAGCTTCCGTGTGCTGTGGAGGGAGGAGGGAAAACCACCACAAATCAGGATCACACAAACCCTTTCTGAAAGGGAATTACTTGAGAGAGGAAAAACTAAAGGCTTAAATGCCCTAAGCATCCAGGGAGTGGGAAGTCACTCAGTGATGGAAAAYTTGGGCTTATCATGGAAAATATGCTGGATGCTCCTCCTGGAGCAAATTCCATCAAAACAGGGCACAGCGTTGGGTTTCCAGTCCCAGCTTTGCCACCAGCTGCTCCATGATGTTCCTGGTGGTTCCCAGGTAAGAGGTGGAGAAGCACTGCTGAAGTGAAACATTCCCTTACAGCTCACAGGAAGTCTGTGGCAGCAGACGAAAGGAACCTGCAACCTGCCTTTTCCTATGGATCTGTGGGAGGGCTGGGAAGGCAATTCCTGGGACACAAATTACAGGAGGCTAAATGGGAAACACCCCACCCATCGAGAATTGGAAACAATGGCTTTCCATGAATTGAGGGGGGGCTGGCTCTCCAGATCCTGGGTATCCCTAAGTCGAGAGTAGACAGCAGGCTCGGGATCAGGTCTGTGCTCTAAAAGCAAATTCAGGGATCATCTCCCCTTCCTAAAGGGAAAGGCACTGGGAAATGTAAATGTACCTGTTTCACTAACAGATGGACCCCCTCAGGCTGGTTACTCTGAATGATTTCCAGGAGTATGGGAGCAAACGTTGAACTCAAACCGTGGATCTGAAAGGAGAAATGACTCAGCTGCAGGACAACAACTCCAGGAGTTTGGGTTGGAAGGGACCTTAAAGCTCATCCACTGCCACCTCTGCCATGGGCAGGRACACCTTCCACTGTCCCAGGGTGCTCCAAGCCCTGTCCAACCTGCCCATGGGCACTGCCAGGGATCCARGGGCAGCCACAGCTTTTCTGGGCACCCTCTGCCACGGCATCCCCAGCCTCACAGGAAACAATTTCTTCCAAATATCCCATCTAACCCTGCGAGTTTCCCCAGTCACCCATCCCTAAACATGACTTTGCTATCTCTCAAATCAATTATTCTGCAGAAAATAKATAATAAATCTTCTGCCTCAAACACATAAAGACAGGAAGCCCTCCTGGGCTTACCTTGGGCCTCCCAAGCCCTTAGCTTGGGAGCAACACTCAGCAAAAAACCTAATTAGACTTTTGCATTAATTTATGCCCAAATGATGCCTTTTATCTGTTAAATATTTGAGGGGTTTGGGRAGCCTGCGATGGGAAGTGCTGCAGGAGAATCCCAGCACTGTCAGCAAATCCCAGCTCCTACCTGGACAATCCTCTGGTGGGTGGTAAGGACRGCATCCAGCTGCATTTTGGATCCCCGCTCTTCCAGGTACAGCACCTCGTTGGTTTTGGTGGGCATGGCATAGCTGCAGGAACCAGAGGGCAATGCTTAGGAGAGGCAGGATATTTGCCCTACTTTACAGGGATGAATCAACCTCCACAGCAGAGAATGGGGAAGGAGATTAACTTTYCATGGGAAATTAATTATGCAAAGGACCTATCTTGCAAATCAGGCRCTGGCAGGGGCCGGGTGTTTTGCTGGAAGGAGATAACGGAGAAGCTCTGCAACACTGCTGCCAGCAAAAACCTGGATTAGCTCCAAACACCAGCCTGAGAACCTTTAACTTCATAGTTTGAGGAAAGCAACAGTTCTGACTTATTTTGTCTTTTGGGAGAGAGCTAAAAACTGCTGCTGCAATGCACCACCCAAAATACKTTGTTTTTTACACCTCAGATTTAATGGGAATGTGACTGGGAGTGGATATGCTCTGCTCAATACTCAGAGACCGCAGTCTCCTCATCCCCATTTCCACATCAACATCCAAGCTCCATCCTACTGCCCACCTTTTCCCCACAGTTTCCAGTCTGAAAGGGCAAATCCTTTCTCTGTGTACTCACTGAACCAAGTCCAACCTTAGAGGGCACAAGTAAAAGTACACATTTTAGAGTGTCACCACTGGTTTTATTCCCTGACGGCAGTTCAGTGCTTTCCCCAGAGCCTGCAGCTCCTTGGGAGCATTCCGGCATTGCTTGGGCATTAAAACCAGAGGGGTTGCTGTTGGGATACACCTATTTTGGAGAGCTAGGATGCTCCTGAAGTATTCTCTCCTCCTAAACTGAAGTAGCAGGAAGCTCCCCCAAAACCTTCAGGGCTTTCCCAAGCTCATTCCAGTTTGGATAACAAGGATGACTGGCTCAAACACCGGGAAGGAAAACCAGCAGCAAATGTCAGCAATACTCCAGCCAACATTCCCAGACTCAGCACTGACAGGCTTAAAGCCTTTCCCTCAGAGGATGGAGTTGTAACAGCCATTTTTTCCTTGGAATCTGCTCAAGTGCCTGAAAAACTCTCTTAGGTGAATAAAGCATCCAAAATTGTACAAATACATACAAATAGAATATGGGGCGGGTGAGAGGTTTGGATTTACACCCAAATAGGAATGTCTCAGGGAGACTGGATTGTGCCCTGGTCTGCAGGGGGTCATAATCCAGAGGGACAGAACTCCTCATACCTCTCGTTGACCCGGAYTGAAAGCCGGTTGCAGAGTCTATGGACATACTGAGCAAAATGCTCCACCAGGCACAGATCGTAGGAGGTCATCTGGATATTGACATCTCCGTACTGGTACTCTGTGCCAGCATCGATCTCTTTCATCTGCACTTTCTCCTTTCTCTTCTTTGGAAYCTGTTTTCCAGAAATAAATAAAACAGAAAATGTATCAGCTTTGAACATGCTGGGAAAAAAAGTTCAGCTCTTGTGGGGAGTMATTGTGATTAGTTTCTTTCAGAGGMAAAAAWAATGGAGTAGKAACAGTAGAAATAAACCTGGTTTTTATTTCAGTTCCTGCCTACATGGCTTGCTGTTGTTTGCTCCTTCCACAAAAACGGATGTCTTTCAAAATCTCAGGGAATGTGAAAAAGCTATATGCAAATAAGACCTGCTYACAATATTCTGGAATAGTTTAGGTGTTAAATTCAGCATCATGAAGAGGTTCCTCCCTCCCACAGCTGCTYACTAACCTCCATGGGAATGTACTGGACAAAAACGAAGCATTTCTGCGGTGTGGTGAGTGGGTACCTCATGGGATCATAGAATGGTTTGGGTTGGAAGGGACCTTACAGCTCATCCTGTCCCACCCCCTGCCATGGGCAGGGAACCTTCCACTATCCCAGGCTGCTCCAAACCYCATCCAACCKGGCCTTCTGGGATGGGCCATCCATATGCTTCAGGATTGCTGTGGGAAAGAAAGCACAGAGGGAAGAAAGTCCTTCTGCTTACCTCCTTTGGGAGCAGGTATTTAAACCTCCCAATTCCATGTGTAGGTCGGGACCTGTAGGATCTGTGGCAACCCAGGAGTGCATCACCTTAAAATGAAAGCAGAGCAAATGCAACAATCATCTACAGGTACTCTGAAAGCCCCAAACCCACCACCATGGTTGGTGCCACTTGCTTAGCCAAGAACAGGGCGAAAAGAAGAAAATGTTAGGAAAAAACATATGGAAGAGCACCTGCACAGGTTATTTAACCAGTCCAAAATTGGCTAAAAAAATGCCAAGAGGAAAGACAAATGCTCCAGTGTTTAATATTTATTTGAGGGAAGAGAAATTTTGCCTCACACTGGATTAACAGACCTTACCTGCAGCACACAGACGGTTTTCTCTGGGTGTTACTGCTCTGTAGGAAASAAGGTAATGATTAAAAACTCTGTAGGAAACAATATAATAATGAAAAGCTCTGATTTCCTCCCACTTATGCAAAAATATTTGACCAATCTCCTTTATGCAAAGGCTCTTGTGTCAAGTCCTCAGATCCTATCAGCACTAAGATTTTCCCTTCTTCCCATTCCATGGCCCTTTCAGCTCAAAGTCTTACTTTCACTTTTAGATTTTTCTTGGGRAAAAAAWWARSMAAWTTTTTTGTCATATATGTTTTCTCACCTGCTGGCAGCGAAYAACTGCCTGAGCAACGCTCCCTTCTCTGAGCACAGCACCTGGAATACAACAGGATGGCAGATCCTCTGAAAATTTTCACCAACACATGGCAGATCCTCTGAGAATTTTCACTAACACCTTCAGATTACTACTTTGGGATAGGACCCAAGGGAAGGGCTGGAGCTGGGCAGGGCAGGGTCAGGTTGGATATCWGGGAAAGGGTCTTCCCCCAGAGGGTSCTGGCACTGCCCAGGCTCYCCAGGGAATGGGCACGGTCCTGAGGCTGCCAGAGCTCCAGGAGCGTTTGGATACCCCTCTYAGGGATAGTCTCTGAACAACCCTAGTGCTTGTCCCACCTCCTGAATGGAGGAAAACAGCTCATCCAGCACGGCAAAGAGCTTTGCTGTCGCCAAACAGGGGTGGGAGATAAATACCGACGTCCCAAATGTTCCAATGTAGGGGGACGGGGATCTGCCAGGGATCGTGAAGAGGAGGAATCTAACAGAGCTGGGGTGGGCCCTGGGTTTGTGAGGATGGCAAGCAGCGGTGTGTGCGTGTCTCTGCCCCTGGTCCAGAGGCACCCGGGCAGATCCAGGGCATGGTCGCAAGGTCTGGATGCCTTGAGGATCACCCCCCCACTTCCTTCCGAACCTAAACCTGGGCCGGATCACGGTCTCCAGCAGCAGGACCTTGGGACCTCCTTGTCCCAAGGACCAAGGCTATCCCTCCGCTCCTGTTCCTCCCTTTCTCTGTGTCCCCGCGTCTTTCCCCGTTCCCAGTCCCCTTCCCGGTGTCCGTCCCCGGTACCTTCGGCACCGCCGCCATCATCGGGCGCCTGTGTCCGTCGCTCAAACCATCCCCCTCCGTGCCTCGGTACGTCCCCGTCCGGCTCCCCCCATCCCACGGCTCCCGCCCCGCGTTCCGCCCACCGATGCCTCCCAGGAGCTATAATTTTCGGACAACCCCGCGCTCCTCCCCGGAGACAACAACTTGTGGACAACCCGCGGTACTGGCGGGACCCCGGTGTCCTGAAGGAGACGGCGAGGAGAGCGGGGGGTACGGGCGGCAATGGTGGACACCCCACTCTACATCCCCACACGGAGCGGGCAGTGCCGCCACGCGGCAGCGAATGCACAGTGCACCCTGCCCTGCACCTATCACCGCGCGTCTCGCCACTCACGGCCCGCCCTCCGCCCTCCTCGCACGCTGATTGGTCTGGCGCCACGTCCATCACGGCGCGGCGGCCATGTTGAGTGTGGCATGGCCACGTGGCGGTGCTCAGGTCGGTGCCCAGCCCCGCCCCAGCGTGGGGCAGCGGCCACTTTGAGTGTGGCGTCGCGGCGGCCATTTACTTGCCCTTTAGTTTTATTTAGAATTACCTTTTTTAATATATATATTTATTTATAATCTCTAAATCCTAAGCATAAGAAGGTTGGGCCGGTGGGGACATCCTCCCTGATTTCCTAGTGGGAGAGGAGGTGGGCAGGGGGTCTGCCTGGGAAGACATAGGCCTGTGGTCCTGTGCCCCCTGGGCCTGACAGTGTGGAGTTGGTTCAGAAAAACCCATCCCGTGTCAAACTGCMCCCTCCTGCCTCTTCCACACAAACCTTAATTTACCACAGGTTTTTCCCCTTCTTCTGGCTCCCTTCTTTCCAGTCAGGCTCCAGTTTCCCCCTTCTTCCATGCCAGCGCTCACTCYGGTGCTCCCATCTCTGCGGCCCCATCTTGGAGCTGTTCCCTGCCTGGCAGCTGGATCTTGGGTCAGGATTTCCTGCTCTGCTGGCTGATGGTTGCTCCAATTGCTCTTGCTGGAGCTGTCAGAACTTCTGATGGACTTTCTCCCTCCAGTTCATCCACGTGGCAAGTTCATTTCCTGCTCTGTGATCCAGCCCTGCCCTGCATTCCTGAGTGTCTGGAGCTCCCGACACACATCCGACACCCCTGATGCTCATCCCCACTGCCCTGGTGCACGGAGGGGACAGAAGGAATGTGAAAGGACAAACTTTGTGTCTCTACCWGCCCGACACATGGAAGGAGCAGAAGGAATCCACAGGACTTTTGATGCTTCCCCCACRATGCAAGGACACATGTTCCCAGCTCCAAGCTGTGTTTGCCTGGTGCTCCCAGGATGTGACAGAATTGCCCACGTGRATGTTGTCCTGCCCTTTGATCCCACCTGGCGAACCCCAGGCAGGGCCAAGCTGGGAATGACACTTGACTCAGGAGCACTGTGGGAGTCTGAGCTGGTTTAAGGATGGCACTCCCATTCCAGGAAACCTGGGCTTCCCTTTCCATGATCTTTGAAGCCCGAGGAAACTGAGGAGGGGTTGCTGTGCCTGCAGGGGACTGGTTTGTAGGGGAAGCTATGATGAGCACCACGATCAAGAGCCGGTTGAGGATGATTCCTAATTCCCTGCCCTCCAATACTGTGTGCCCATGGAGTGGGACTGCACCCCTTAATTCCCTCTGCCCCTCCTGGGGACTCACCTTTCGTGGCTGAGGAGGGCGCGTTGCCCCAGGCTGAGCTTGGAGTGAGGCAGTAACAGATTGCAGGGATCCCCCTCCCAGTGATGCATTGTCYTCGGTGTCTCCATGAGAAACGAGTCCATCTCTCCACTGAAAAATGCCTCTGACATCTATCATAGGTGGATACATTTTAAGGCCAAAAGGGACTGTTAAATCACAGAATTCAGTCTCCTGCACATTGCAGTCAATAGGTTTCCYGTGACTTATGGCTTTATGGAAGCAGATCACTCCTCTCTCTGTGAAAACATCTTTCTCACAAAGGCTCCTGCTCTTGATTTTCCCAGGATAAAAAGATAGCGCTGCTCTTGGCAGCTTGTTCTGGTGGCTGAGCACCCTCTCTGTTAGGACACGGCCCTTATTTCCAGCTGGAATGTGCCTTTCTTTGCCTTTTGCATCATTTCACAGCCAGGGAACCAAATCCCTGTTGCAGGAACACAACTTCCAAACATTTTTGTGACACTTAGACAGAGAAGCTGAGGTGACTTGATGACTTCCTTTTTCTGTACCACACTAAGAAAAACTCCAGGAAGCTTTCCCTCCTTTTTAAGGCTTTCCAGGCCTTGCCTCCACTTCTTTTCAGACTCATCCAATGATGAAAACAATCAAGAACTGTTCGAATAGACCTTAAAAGAAAACCTCTATGTGTCTCCTCCTGTGCCTTCAGCTGTTGTTTTCCCTGGGATTTGTGGGAAAGATCCTGGAATGCCCCTGACACATAAAAAAAGACAATATCTGTAATTAATATTTGAAATCATGTCAGGCTGGTCTCTGCCAGTCTGGACTCCCTTTCTCTGTGGTACAGGAGAGAAGCCTCACAACTGGAGTGGAAGCGCTCCCAGATGCAGAGTGCAGAGCTGGATGGGAGTTCCTGCTT